CCCGGGCCGCCCGCACTTCGCATCCTCTGCCGCCGCCGCCGCCGCCGCCTCCTGGCCCGGCTGCTGCTGCTGCTGCCGCCGCCGCCGCCCCTTTAGCCCGAGCAGCTGTGAGGAGCCCCAGGTGCGGCTGGAGCAGCGCCTCGGCCTGAGCCGGCCTTGAGGAGGAAGAGGTGCAGTCGCGGGGCGGGGAGGACAGGAGGGGGGGAAGAAAGGGGGGCAGCCAAAAAGAGAAGGACGCCCTTCCAAGCCCACCCGCTCTCCTCTCGCCGGCTGGCTTGCGCTTTGGACACGCGGAAGGGACACCCGCCGTCTTTCGCCTTCACGCCTTGGCGAGCTTCCCCCTTTCCTCCCACAGCGGAAACCTGGCGGTGTATGAATATTTCAGCATCTCGCAGGCAGGCGTGTAAAGCGATCTGTAGATGATTATTGAGTGGGGTGCTGGAGGCGGCGGCGGCGGCGGGTGACTTTCTGCTGCTGCGCTTTGGATGGTTCTGCTGCCGGTGGTGGTGCTGGTGGTGGTGCTGCTCCCTCCGCTACCGCAAGGCGCTTCGCTTCGCCTTGACGCATTCCGCCCGGAGCTTAGCTTCTTCTGAGCGCTGCTGCACCAACCGGACGGGTCCACGGCGGTAGGTAAGCGAGAAGCCACCTCGGTAACCAAGTTTGCCGTTTTCCCGCAACTGATGCTTGGGTGTCAGAGGGAGGGATGTCCAAGAAGCCGGTGTAGCTTTCCCAGGCACCAGGGTCCGCTTCTTTTCATTTCCAATCGGTTCGGTCAAACGGTGCCAGAGTGTAAGAGACCCCCCTCCCTCCCCCCCAAGAAGTTTTAAGGGGTGGCTTACCTGGCTTTTCCTGCTCTTGTGAAAGCTCACAGGTATGCTCCTTCCATTAACTTATTGTACATGATTTGAAGACTGACATTCCTGTGGGTATTTTTCAGGTTGTGTCAGGCCCACGAAACTCAGCGTGGGACACCAAGGAAAATATAGATAGGACCGGAACTGTAAAGCAGTTAGTTATATACAGTATGTGAAACGCAGAAAGTCCCCCTTAAGCAAAGGTGTAGAAGTTATGATGTGCAGGGACATGGGACTTTGTGGGTGCGGTAATTTTTAAAAAAGAAGAAAAAGTACATATACGTGTAGGAGTCTGTTAACTGACTTGAAGGGATGTGTTGGATTTGATTCTGGACAGAACTGCATGATATGTAATGTCACTGGAATGGGAAGAAGTATCATGGTTCTTGCATTTTGCTATGTGTGTGTGTATAAGAGACAGAGAAAGAGAGAGTGAGAAGGGAGAGGTTTTTTTTTTAATGAATATGCTTCTTATCCCTTTACAGTATCTGGCAGTTGCCTCTGAAATGAGCTTTATTACTTAGAAAATAAATAAATAAAGAGGAAGGGGCTAGTCCAGAACAAGTGGGAAGTCATTGGATGTTGCTGAGTCGACATTTCAAGCAGTCTCGTCCCAGCTACTACATTTATTTATTTATTTATTTTTATTGAGGGAAAGTGTGTGACGGTAGCCGCAATACAACAGGACCAACAGCAGCAGTGGCAGCAGCAGCAGCAGCAGCATGGTCATAGCCTGGAGGAAAACAGAGGAGCTGTGTTAAAAGAGAGAAGCTAAGAAGGCGATTCTCAACCTGTGTGCTCAAAGACCCTAGCCATCCCTTTGTTGTTGAGCGCAACCAGATACAGTACAAAGTTTGCCCCTTCCTTCCTTCCTTCCTTCCTTCCTTCCTTCCTTCCTTCCTTCCTTCCCATCCATCCATCCATCCATCCATCCATCCATCCATCCATCCATCCATCCAAATGATCAGCACCCAGTACTTCCCTCCCCCCCCAGCCTGGGCACCTTTCAACCCCCTCCTGTTTCTTTTATCTTAAATTTTCCAGCCTTGGTATCCATTCTCCATCCTTTGATTTCCTTCTTTTTGAGCTGTCCATACCAAGACTCATCTCCCTTCTGAGCCCATGTTGTAATTCATTCCACTTCTACATCCAGCACCCTTTTAAGTTCTCCATTATTCACTCTTCCGCTCTGAGGTCTCTTTATTTGGGAGCTTTTCTCCTTCTGCCTCCTGCCTCATCTCATCTCATCCTGTCCCATCTTCTTCTTTTCCTGTTTCTCCCGCCCCTTTCCCACCATGACTGTGATGGCTGGGGATATCATAGATGAAGCATCTGCTCTTCCAGGCCACCCTCAGGACAGTTATCGGCCTGGTGCTCATGATGACCATGAATGCTGTGAGAGGGTTGTCATCAACATTGCTGGCCTGAGGTTTGAGACCCAGCTAAAAACGCTTGCCCAGTTTCCCAACACATTGCTGGGTAATCCAAAAAAACGCATGCGGTACTTTGACCCACTGAGGAATGAATACTTTTTCGATCGGAACCGTCCCAGCTTTGATGCCATCCTCTATTACTATCAGTCTGGAGGGCGGCTTCGCAGGCCAGTTAATGTGCCATTAGATATGTTTTCTGAGGAGATCAAGTTCTATGAACTGGGAGAGGAGGCAATGGAGAAATTCCGGGAAGATGAAGGGTTCATCAAAGAGGAAGAGCGACCGCTGCCTGAGAAGGAATACCAGCGTCAGCTATGGCTTCTTTTCGAATATCCCGAGAGTTCTGGGCCAGCCCGGGTCATTGCCATAGTTTCTGTCATGGTGATCTTAATTTCCATAGTGATCTTTTGTCTGGAGACTTTGCCAGTATTGAAGGAGCAGGAAAGAGACTATGCAGGACCTCAAAACCGCAGCGACAACTCCACCACATTTTACAAGGCCAATATCTTTACTGACCCCTTTTTTGTGGTGGAGACCCTGTGCATCATTTGGTTTTCTTTTGAGCTGGTGGTGCGCTTTTTTGCCTGTCCCAGTAAAGCTGAGTTTTTCAAGAACATCATGAACTTCATTGACATTGTGGCCATCATCCCTTACTTCATCACTCTGGGCACAGAGATGGCTGAACAGGAGGGGCCTCAAAAGGGGGAGCAGGCTACCTCTCTGGCTATCCTGCGAGTCATCAGACTGGTAAGAGTCTTTAGAATCTTCAAACTCTCCAGGCATTCTAAGGGCCTCCAGATCCTGGGACAGACACTCAAAGCAAGCATGAGAGAGTTAGGTTTGCTAATTTTTTTCCTCTTCATTGGGGTGATTCTGTTCTCCAGTGCGGTGTATTTTGCTGAAGCTGAAGAGCCTGGGACATATTTCGACAGCATCCCCGATGCTTTCTGGTGGGCAGTGGTATCCATGACCACTGTGGGATATGGTGACATGTACCCTGTGACAATTGGAGGCAAAATCGTGGGCTCCTTGTGTGCCATCGCTGGTGTGCTGACAATTGCCCTGCCTGTACCTGTCATTGTGTCCAACTTCAACTACTTCTACCACCGAGAAACAGAAGGGGAAGAACAGGCTCAGTTGCTTAAAGTTAGCTCTCCTAATTTAGCATCTGACAGTGATCTGAGTCGCCGTAGCTCGTCCACAATCAGCAAATCTGAGTACATGGAAATTGAAGAGGATATGAATAATAGCATAGACAATTTTAGAGAGGCAAACCTGAGAACTGGCAAATACACTATAGCCAACCAAAACTGTGTTAATAAAAGCAAGCTGCTGACTGATGTTTAAAAACACAGTGTAAAGAAAAATAATTCTGGCAGCTTGGAGACTGTAAGTGACTGGCAGTCACACTTTGTAGATGTTTTATGAATAGTCTTTGAATGCTTTACCTCGTAAATGCATTGTTGCATTGCGAATTTTTGCTCAGCGATTCAAGAAGCTTTCACGATCCATGAAAGATATTCACACTTTTTGATTTTATTTTAAAAGGATATTTTCCAGTTGTATGAATAGTTAATTATAACTCTTTGGGTCAACTAAGTTATGTATAAGAATTGTATGCTTCTACCACTACGCAATTTTTCATTACTTTCGGTTCTTTAACTTAATTTTTTTTTTTAAAAAAATCAATTCAGGAGGACTCTTACAAATATTTAAAATATGCATGGATTCCGGGGGGGGGGGAACCCTACAAGCCCCCTGCACAATGCATCCAAGAAAATGCATCCAAACAGTATTTAGCAGTAATGTGCAGTAAGTATTTGCCATTCTTTAGACTGACATACATATAATATTTCCTTCCTTTGCAAAAAGTTTTGTAGTTCTGATCTACCAATCCATACACAGCACCTTATAAAATATGCCAGGTCATTTTGTTTGTGCTCTTAAAATTGAAGAATTATTCTGTATGGGGTAGGAGGCTGGGGGAGACAGAACATCTGCAATGCTGCTAAGGTTTCTTAAGTGCAGATGGTTTCAATGTACTTTTTTACCCCCTCCTCCAGAACTGGATGCAAACCTTTTTAGCTCCTTTGTTGCAAGACAGCACAATAGAATTTAATATAAGCATGTTTGACTTTGATACTATCTATTTTATAACTGCATGCCTGGAACATTACCTCAGACAATAAGGGATAAGCTTTTATTTGAATCACCCTTCTTTAAAATAGTCCCTTTTATTTCAATTTGCATTCACCAAAAGTGCACTGGTTTTTATTTATTAAGTATCCAATTAGTAACTTAAAGTACTGTATTTAAGTGCGTATGTTAGTCAAATGGGAACAATAATTTTTGAAGATCAAAGCATGTTAAAATATTCAGCATTATGGCCTATTTGACTAAGGCACAACTCAGAATTAATTAATGCATGATCTCAGTAACAAATTAAAAAAAACAAAGAAAAAACTAACATTGCTTGTTGGAATTGAGGGCCAAGAGAGATTTGACAGTTTTCCTGCATTGTACAGGGAAATGAGTTGGCTTCTGTCCAGGCCTTGTTGGAAAGTAACATATCTCATCCCTTAAAGGGAAAATTATAAGGAAAATTAAGAAGCCCAATTTATATATTGCAATGCCTAAATATTCTGTATCTCTTAGAGCAGAAAAAAGGTGCAGAAGCATGCCTTTTGGTGCATTCTTAGAATGTAAAACAAAACTTATCTATTATATGCATCCAAATTGTAACCCCCCATTCTTTTGCAGCCATTGTTTGAGCCTTAGAGATTTTTGTACTGCCCTAGGATTCACTGAAGATACTCAACCAATTGATTTTAGGTAGTTGCTTAGTGCCTTTATCTTTACAGCCACTGAACTGCTGAAAGTGCCTCTCTGAAAAGAGCTGATCCTGAGCAGTCATGGATGAGTCAGTCAGACAATATCAGAACTCTGCTGTTCCAAATGCAGGCATTGCATAAAGAACCAGGGAGAAAGACAGTGTACAAAGAGGCAGAAGAAGTGGGCAAAGACCACCAGCACTCATTCATGCCTAAATTTCCCTTGTGCTTCCATCCTACACAGTAGGGTGACATCACAACTTAGACTTTGCCTTTGCCGAATAGGTTGCAATCATGTGTTTATGCAGAATGCAACATAATTGTTCCAGATTGTTTCTAGAAATTTCACTGCTGTCCATGCTGTTGGGGAGTAGATGGCAGGTTGGCCATTCCCTTCCCAGGGAAGGCTCTTTGGCAGCCTGTCCCCAGACGATCTGTAATTGTAATAGTGCAGGGAGCCAGATTAGCTAGCTGTACTGTTGGCCAACTTGAATTTCTTGGACTCTTTTCAGAGGTGTCTGCTTTTCCAGCCAAACACCTGGGGGTTTCACCTTGTCCCAACCTTCCAGAGGTTCATGAATTTTAATATTGGATCCTCATGAAACTCTCCTACCCACTGTATTAATTCACCTACTTTTGTGGGCTGCTGGAAGTTACAGCGATTTCTGAGAGAAGAAATTCTTTGCAGATAAGCCTGATACTGCAAGTCACAGAAGTTAAGAAGTCAATTTTAACCAATACAGTTTTTTTTAAAAAAACATTGCAATTGAAGGTTTCCCTCTCCCCTAGACTTCATTTACTATCATTTGCTCTCTTTTTCTTCACTGCATTGATTCTAGGCCTTCATCTAATCCCTGATATCTGTCTTTCAATAGCTACACTTACATGACTTTTCAAAATGAAAACAAGAACATTAATTCTGCAGTTTTGCAGGGATCTGACATGCCCAATGCACAGAAAGGCACAGTTTGGAGACTTCAGTGATTCAGAAGGATGGGAGGTATTTGTAAAGGGTAGGTGGATCTTTTCAATACTGATTGCAAAAGATTACTGGGGTAAGGGCATTATATCTTTGAGAAAGGAAGTATTGGCCATTTAGTTATCCTTTTCTTTACCGAAGTGCTAGACTTCCTCAAATGTCAAAATTTAGGAAAGTTAATCCTGCGTGAAACTGGCTTGAAAGCTGCAATTCAGTTACCTCACCAGTGCCATGTGAGGTCACTGATCAGAAGGTGCCACATGAGAGAGGATGAGGCCTAAGTCGGGCAGCGTGGTGAGTTTGCGTGCTGACTGGTTAGATTACCCACAACTTAGTTTATCTGCTGGACTGATCCTTATTCTGCATGTTTACGAGAAAGTACTGCATGTAGTGGTTCGATTTATGCCGCCCCCTTTTGCTTTTGGCAGGGTTGGGTAAATCTTTAGGGCTCAGCGTGGGGGGGCTGTCTTGGGGATTATGACAATTGCTTATTCATTTATAGTTCTTGACAAAGGAACTAGGTAAATATGGAGAACAGGGAATAAACTCATGTAGTATAGGCATGTATTTCTCCTCCCCTTTAATCAGACTCATGGCTTTGCACTATATGTGCTGAAATGTCTTTGTAGGCCTGAAGGTGCACTAAATAACTGCCTGATATGGCTTAGGTTTTGGTTTTAAATTTTCCTTTATGCCATTGAAAGTCCCTGAAAAAAATCCATGTGCGAGTTTGCCCCGGTAGTTATAGGCTAAAAAGGGACATGGTCAATCAAAGTACAGCAAGAAGAAGCCATGTAGATTTGGGGCATACTGATAACTGCGGTATAATGTCTTTTCAGTGTTGATCTATTCTTGTGATTTGTAACATTGTGTCAATTCAATTCATTAAAATCCAGCAATTGTAAAGTTCAAGCTTGTTTATTTAAATGGCAAGTTTTACAAGGCCTGGAACTGAGCGAAGTTTCCTTAATCTTAAAAAAAAGAGAGGCCTTGCCATGAGAAGATGGTGGCCACCTTAGGCAGTGAATTATACATGCCATTAAGGACGGTAGAGTTGGGGACAAGTCTGACTTGAAGCACAATTCATTGAGAAGTTCCCCTATGTGAACCTCATGGAAGTGAAGAAGAGATGCACAAGAGCTGCTCTTGCACAGCTCCCATTCATTTCCATTTGGCTTAGTGGGGTGGAGGTGTGTTTTGGATTTTCTGCCTCAGGTATCAAATACAGTACCTTGGGATAACTCTTTGCCATCTGAACAATGTAAGAGAGAGAAATCGCAGGTCCCTTGCAGTTATCAAGAGTATATTTTATGAACAGTAAAGTTTTCATAAAGAATGTGTAGAAACGTGATAATCTCATCTGTTTCCCAAAGATGTGACATTTACAGGAGATTCTGAAAAATAATGGTACATTACATGTGTAAGGAGCAAGGCTAATGATGTATGTTTCTTATAAAAGGAGAGGATGTAGAGATCAATAAAGCTGCACTGCATCAGTATTAATTTTAGAATTAGAAAGACCAATTTTAAACTAAACAGGATTCTATTGATCACTCTTAGCTCTGATAAGATTCATATATTCATGTTATGAACAACTGGATGAAGTCTAGTAGCAAGCCACAACTAGAGTAGACCCACTGAATCAGTGGAATTTTTGGAGGAGTCGACTCACCCAGTCTCTACTGATTCAATGGGACTATTTTAGTTGCAACTTACTGCTGGATTTCAGACAGACTGTCCCCCCCCCCCAACATACTCTCCTTTTCTTAAAATGGTATATTGTGACGGCCTATAGTTTTAAGCAATAAAGCTTGTTCAGTGAAAAATGAGACAAGAATTAGGGGATGGGTGTTACTGGTTTCAGTGGATTTTCATCCAACATTGGTTGACTTGACCTGGTCCGCATTAACAGTAGATGGAGTGGTGAAACTGTTCCTGAACTGTCCTACTTCAGTCTGCAGGTGAGAAATGGTGTTGAGTGGATATTTTGAGTTTCACTCGGTTAAAACAACAAAAAATGCTATGTGTATACAGTGACTTGGAGGCAGCTATGCTGGAATCCTCTGTGGTATCTAGGTCTAGTTTTCACTGAGTAGTAAAGCTGTGTCTAGATTGTACCACTTCAGGCTGCAAGTGAGGGCTTATACAACAGAGTGATTTCAAAATTCTCTTCTTGATGCTCTTCTAGTAGGAGTTGGATGAAACCATACCTATTCTGGTTTTGGATGCAGTGGGTCTAAATAGTGACGTTATGGTGCATCCAAACTAATGTTTTCAGTTTTTCATCCAGTAAGATCTTCTTCTTGAACTTTTCCCCCCATGTATTTTACCTTGAATGATCAGCTCTAATAATTTGTTTCTCATTATATGACCAGATTTATCTTTTTGGATTTCATGTGCTTTTCACATTTTTTGCTATTCACTCATTCCATCCATTCATTCCCTTTAGTACTTATGTTCTTACTTCTCTGGTCATCTTTCTTAATTCAAGGAATTCTCAGCACCCTGTGAGAAAACCATGTTTCATATGCTCCTATCTCTTTCATAGTGACCTGGATTAAATCTATGATTCCATGCAAACAGGGATTTGTAATTTGAATTTTATTTAGAAATATTTGGTTTTCACAGGCAGAATGTTTTTTTAATGGTTAAATGTTTTATCATATAACCCCCAGCTATAGTTTGAAAGACACCTTTCTGTGAGAACTAGGCCATAGTTTACGTGTACTTTATGCAGGACAGTTTTTATTTTAATAAATTTGAGGGAGCATTCAACCATGTGATTCCTTAGTCTCTGACTGAAGGATACAGTTCAGGAAATGTTTTTCTGTGATATCTGCTTTTTATATAGACCAGGCTTTT